GACAAAAAAAAAAAAAAAAAAAAAAAAAAAAAAAAAAAAAAAAAAAAAAGATTATGGCCAAATCTTGTAAATAAATTGAATCTTGCAGCTCCATATAAATATCCTTTTAAAGGATAGAAACACAAATCTCATGCTGAAATTTGCATAAGGAATCCTATATCCAACAGCTTAATACACTCTTAGGCAAAAACATTACGAAACATTTTGCAGTCCCTGAAATTTCCCAATTAAGTTAAACAGATGAGTGTTTAATCAATTCAAAAAGTAAATATCTGCAGGACACAGCTAATGAAGAATAACAAGAAAACAGAAATCAAAATATTTACCAAAGAATCACAATATAATGAAAATTAAAACCATGTCTGGAACATCTTAAGAAACTCTGACCAAAATTAATCAAAACAGGCTCTTATATTATTTAAGCTTTTTAAAAAAGATCTTTTATATTTTAAGAAGTAATAATGGAGTTTCATAGCAAAAGTTTTATTTCCATTTCTTGCCATTTTTTCCATTTGATAGCTCTCCATTTCCAATTTCAACAGCACCATTAAAGTCTTGGGCAACAAAGAAAACATGTAATTAATTACCTGATAAATTTGAAAGATATGATGAGCCAATCTAATTAATTCTGGATAAAAAAACAATCTTATTTTCATAAGGGCTTCTGGATTTGCCTTGACCATATATTTTATTTTTTTCTGTATAGAAAATATTTAGAACATTCATCTTATATCCATGCTTTAACAATCACTTAACATTTCAAAATAATGATACCTTTCTTCCTTGAGTTTCGTAAGTATCTGGGTTCTTCTTTGACAGAGATTTTACAACTCTTTATCCGACAGAAAAAGGATCGTCTTGAGCCAGAGTGCACATGTGTCCTTCTGGTGTGGAAATTACTGTGAACTTGCAAACCAGCTTTCATAGCAGAAGGGGACAAGAGAATAGGTGGGAAAGAATATTTTCAAATAATTTTGATATTTATCTCCTAAATTTTCTGGTTATCTATTATAGTTTTCTAATAAATTGAAAAAAAAAATGGTCATTTAAAGCAATGACATGATTTTACACTAAACCCCAAAGTGAAACATACAAGAAAATGTATTTGTTAAGCAATCACATTTTGGTAACTTGCAATTTATTTTTATTTTTCCCTAGGGAATAGATAATAAAGTTAATTTAAATGAAATGAAATAAAAATTAAAAGAAAAAATGGAAAAAGTCTCAACTATAACAGTAAAAAATGGCATAAAACATCATTATATTATAGATAATTACTTGGCACTAAGCACTTTCAGAGAAGTATTCTTAGAGAAGATAAAGAATACTTATACTTCCCAAGCACAGTTATACAAGGTCTTTCATCCTGAGAACATCTACCACATATAATAAAGAGAATAATTGTCTCTCAGCATATAGCTAAATAATGAAAACTCCAGCAATTTTTTAACCAAATTCATACTTTTTTGCAAAGAATTTATTTGCATATGAAAAATAGCAAGTATGAAGCAATCACATTTTCCCCAAACAAAGCATCTTCATATGAATGCATTTTTTTCTATATGTCTGAATGAATACAGGAATTCTCTAGTTATTTATTCTTTTAAATTCTGAGGCTGACAAATGTAAAGTTTACTAAATAATTCTCCTCTCAATAAAAACTTAATTAGCTAACTTTTTAAAAAACACTGTATAGCTGTACTTTTAGGTAACAATTGTACTACTTACATAAAACAGTAAGCATGCTAAAATGACCACTTACTTTTGGCATCTATTCGTTTCTCTTGTGAAATATCAGAGGAAGAAAGTTGTTCCTTTACTTTGGCAACATCTTTTGGATGTAAGATGTCAAATAAGCTTTGTCCAGTCAAACTAGCCTATTCATAGGTAGACATTCATTTAAAATCAGTACCATAATTTTTCTACATTCCATCATACAGGCATATTGATAAATATCATGTTTGTTATAGGTTGATTTTTCTTAAGCTCAAAGATACATCCACTACACTGTGTTGACATTAACTTAGTCAAAGTTAGAGGCAGAGTGATACTTGCAGATAGAAAAAAAACACATGTATACAGAACCACACCTGGATATACACAAATCACATACAAACACCTAATTGCTAATATTCTGTTAAATTTTGTTACTCTTGTTAACATCCCCCCATTCACATATGTTACTTTTAAATCATTATGATTTACTTTAAACATTATCATCCTTGGTAAAAGGAGAGACTGTATTATCACAAAATATCTGTGATTTATGGCATAAACAAAAAAAATTTACCATAAGGTTAAAAAGAAATTACCATACTATTGAAAAACAAAATCTAACCCAGAATACCTCTTACTTCCCATTCCACCTCTCCAAAATATGCAGAGCATTCCTAGGTCTGTGCCTTTGCCTGTATGGTCTCCTCACCTAGAATTCATTACCGCTTCTCTACAAACTCAATTCCCTGGCCACTCCAGCGAATTGCCTGGACTCCCTACACTCCTCCCAGCTTGAAATGTCTCCCTCCCCTTCCCTGCTCATCTTGAAGATCCCCTTCTGACAAGCCTTGTAGACATTCTACTTGATGTGTGAAGCCCTCCCTGACCCACAATGATCACCTCCTTTTGAATTCCTATGTTACCCGAGTAGACATTCCTAGAGAAGACAGAACAAATGGACCAGCTGATACAAGTAGGCTGGACTGTCTGGTGGTTAGATATTTCCCACTTAAAAAAAAATTAATTTATGTATCACTCTATTTGGTGTTTGGTCAACATAAATCTATGTCAAGGACTCTCTACTTTAGAGAAAATCAAGTTTCTGATTCTGAAAAGCTGAAGACCAGATCCTGCATCATGGGAATCCCAACATCCTCCTGAGCAGCCAGTCTCTTAAATGGCCTCTGATACACAACATCAGCACCCAGTGGTTTAGGACTCCATGTCACAAATTTGGAACTGAGGTGCTACCCTGAATTATCAGTTGTCTTTCTGTGTGTGTGTGTGTGTGTGTCTGTGTGTGCGCGCGCACGCGTGTGTGTGCGCATGTGTGGTGCTCTCCATCACCTATGAGAAGAAGGAATCATCAGGTCTTGTGCCACTTTTGTGTCACCAGCTATAATTAGCTACATGACTCATTAGTTCTCAATCCTTCTCTATACAGGCTTATACTAGCTCTTTTTCTGTTATTCAACTCATTATCTATGAATACGAAACTGGAAAATAGGCTGGAACTAATGAGAATTATTCAAGACCAAAGCTGTGGTCTATCTGATTTCTATTTTAAATGAGAATGCAGGTGCTAGTTCACTCACTCTGATGGATTAGTTTCAGTTCTATAGTTTCTGTGTAGCTTGTTTAAATTAAATGGTATTCAATAATTAGGGAGTAAAGTAATTTCCAAGTGAATTAAACAACGGATATATATCAGAGTTTGTTGCCAGAGATTAGATTGAACGTTGTTATGTAATGCCTACAGATAATAAATAATAATGTCTTTTGGGGGAACTAGAGAAGGGTGACTAACACTGTTTTCAGACACTTTCAAATATGGCACCTTATTTAGTCTTCGCACCTTGAGAGACAGGTATAATCATCATTTCCACATAGCAGAAAGCTGAGCCTCAGTAAAAGTGACTTGCTGAAAGTCAAGAAGTGAACACTAATGGCATTAATAAAAATCCACACTCTGTCCATATATCTTTCCACCTTCCTTGGAGTTCTACCTCAGCAGAACCTAATCCCACATCCCAATAGAAGAAAGAATTCAGAAAAAAAGCTTCCAATCATGTATTTGTTCAAAAGATTAGACACTGTGTGGAAAATATCCTGTTTTGGATACCTGATCATAATTAAGTATTTTGGAGACTGATTTAGAAATGAAGAAAATTTTTCCTCTTTCACATCCAACCACAAATAGGAAGCCTTCTGCAGTCTAGGATTTAAAAAAATACAAATGAATATTTTAAAATATCTTCTGTCTCTCACCCACACGCATTCAGATTTTGAGGAAATTATTATGGCAATAAAACTAACAGAGTGGTTACAGAGCTAATAAAATTAATTTAAAGAAATTTTTATAAGACATAAAAGTTTATACAGAATGTCAAATTGAATCCCAGTCTAAACTAATGTTTTTGACATGGAATGTTGAGCCATGAAATATTTAATTGAGATATTTTCTAATATAAAAATCGCCTTTACCAAATTCTATATTGCATACAGAAACTCTGTAAAGATATCAACACACATCAATAACAATGATTACCTGTGGATGTGCTGAGGTAGAGGGACTTTGAAGATTGGGGACTAGCAAGGGATTAGGAGATTTCACTGTATACCTTTTTACACTTTTTGAATAATGATATCACTCATTAAAAACTAAATTGAAAAAGTTCTAATAGATCAGCTACTCCCATAAGGTCAACCCAACAAATGCCCTGTGAAGCACCTATGTGGAAATGCGTATTTATAGACACATAGGATGAGTTTGGCGCTCCCACTTGGCATCTCCTTGAACTAATTTTCAGCAGTTGGAAACAAACATGAGGGGAATTAGGCAGATGTGTTCTATGGGGCAGAACCAGGGTTACATGAAGATAGGACTGAAAAAATAAAAAAACACTTAAAGATTGGTAGGAACTCTTCCAAAGCATAGCTGCACATTTCCCCATGTTTAACAATTATTTTGTTATTCGAAAAAAAACCCAAAACTCTGTATTCCTGTCAGGAACACTATATTTACAATGAGCTGTTCAAATAAAAGCGTGGCTCTCTTAAAAAATGAAAAGAAACATGAACAAAAGGATATATGAAGGATCTTTCTGTTTGCTCAGACTATGGCTTAAAGCCCAGTAATCACAGCACATTATCGAGACACTTATCACCTCCTGGGGCCAGGATAAGCCAATGGCATGGTCACATTTTCCTCGTAAAATAAGCCTCTAGACTAGTGAATCTGAAAACGCACACATATGAAGTGACAAGGATGGAAAGGTCAAAGCATCAACTAGCAACTCAGTAAGCAAGCAGCAACTGGCTTCTGCAGAGACTGGGATCCCAGGTAGACGGCTCTGAAGGCAGCAGTAGCGCCAAACGGACCCTGCAGTTTGAGAGATGCATGACCTCTGACACTTACATTACATACACTTACATTAGGTGTTTAGCATTAAAGATGGGCTCTGCCCCATATTTTGGAAAGTGCCTTTCTTCCACTTCTACTTTCATTAGCTAAACTAGTAAGACATGGTTACTCCTATCTCTTAAATTTCTATATTAAAGGAAATATGGCATAATATAGAGTCCTGTATGTTTATAACAAATTGAAGGATGCAAACTGAAGAAAATCTGCCTCCCATTCGAATAAAAACGAAAGGACAAATACAACTTGGACAAACATATCTCTTTACTTACCTTAAGGATTAAATGCCCGAGCTCATTATCCTGAATAAAGGAAGGTCTATAATTATCTCCTACATAAGAATTTGCCATGCCTAAAAACAGACAAATCAAAAGGTTATCAAAAATATGGTAGAGAGGGAAATACAGTAAATGCTCAATGAACGTGAGCACTACTGCTGCTGTTGTTGACGACAACGATGGTGATGGCATTTTCTCTTTAGCATGTTCTAAAACATCTTCTGTAGTCATTTTCTTTCTTCATTATTACCAGATTACAATTTCTTGCTTTTATATTATGAATTCTTAAAACTACTAATCCTTTTATACTCAAACATATGGAGAGCAAGAGCTGTATATAAAAAAAGAAGCATCATAATAAAATGCACATGTGACAATATTTGAGAATCTATATCATTATCTTGACCATTTCTTAGCTTATTAAAACTTATTGTATGAATTATCCTGAATGGGGAGATTGTGGAATTCTAAACCAATGTGTGGATTCACAGGATTTTCAAGTAAGAAAACTTCTTTAATGACCATATGGAGAACTCTGTCCTGATAATATACAAAAATGTTTAAGATATAAATGAAATAATTTATTTTAAGCCCTTAGCACAGAGTTATTATACTAAAATTAAAGTCTCTAAAGCTGGAAAAATGATAAGGAATTATCAGGCCAAAGCCACAGTAAAAGTGTGACCTGAGAGAAGTAAGAGAAGCACCGAAAGCACATTTGTCATGAGGGTGTCCACCAACCCTGACATGCAAAAGCCCTTCATGGCCACACAGGGGTGGAGGGGACAGTCCACAAAGCCAAGGTGCACATCCCCAGGGCAAGGGCACCTCAGAAGTAAATCAATTTTTTCCCTCCCTGATACTCCCCAACCCTCCCTAACCCCAATCGCCTCCTCCTGGGGAATGCAAGAAAAGTTGCTTTTGCAAGAGAAAGGTGGAGTAACACCCTGAGACATTTTAACCACAAACAGTCCACAAAGCCAAGGTGCACATCCCCAGGGCAAGGGCACCTCAGAAGTAAATCAATTTTTCCCTCCCTGATACTCCCCAACCCTCCCTAACCCCAATCGCCTCCTCCCGGGGAATGCAAGAAAAGTTGCTTTTGCAAGAGAAAGGTGGAGTAACACCCTGAGACATTTTAACCACAAACTGGCCCTTGGACAGATTTGCAGCCCAAACTCATAATTACCTAAGGGTGGGGAGGGTGCTGGGAGGAGAGCAGAGAGAGACCAGAAAATGAAAAACACCTCCTGCTATGATCTGGTAAAGTTTTCCCAGACTTGTAGCACCCCTAAGAGCCTGGCATAGGCAAAAGAAAATCTTTTCTGTTGAACTCGATCTTCATCCTAAGCCTCAAAGAACTCTCCCAAATGATTTCCTGGTGGTATTATGACTACACAGGAGCCTGGTAGGACGACAGCAGGAGGAAGCTGAGAAAAGGGTGAAAGATGCAGACTCTGAGTGCTAGGCCAGGGTACAGCAATAAATTGATTGTGACCAAAGCTGTGACATTTCCAGGTCTGGCCTGAAGCAAGACTGGCAGAGCACGCATAGCAGAATGAAGCTGGGGCAACGCTGTCGCTGTCGGTGTAAATCAGCCTGAATGGGTGAACCCTGACTAGGCACGTGAGTGAGGACGTGCCAAAGAGAAAAGGAGGGTGTAAGAGCAGAACTGAAGTGAGGTGAGGCTGGGCGATAGAATGCACCTGCCCACCAGGGGTAACAATTTGGCTCTCATATTTCTGATGGCAAGACAAACAAGACAACATGATCCTTACCTTTTTCACAATGTTCATTAGGTTCAAATAAAAAAAAAGATCAAAATGACAATAACTACTACTAATGCTCTTACCACCGCCTCCCCCATTAAAGAACACTGTGCTAGCAGTTTCTATGCACTATTCTTTGCTCTTAACAACCCCATGAAAAATGCCTATCCCTATTCTACAGATGTGGAATTGAAGATAAGAATGTTGAACAACTTGAGTAGGTCACACAGATATTAAGTCAGGGACCCAGGATTTGAACCAGGAGGTCTACCTCCAGGACCCACATGGCTACGCTCTCCTGCCCCCGGGTATTGAGACAGCAGACGCAGAACACCCATGGGCTCTCTGAAAACTCAGGCTGCAGGGCAGGGCTACTCCAAATATGGTCTGCAGAGCCATTTCTTCAGCAGACCATGGTGAAATGAGGACAGGAATCAAGAACAAGGATTAAGACACTTTAATAGAAATGTTAACATTTTTGTGCTATCCAAGTTCATGGTCATTTTCCCAGTAACTAACTGCATTTTACAACGTACTGGGCAGGTGGGGGTGTGGGAAATTGTCCTTCACCAGATAGTTTGAAAAGCACTGCTGTAGAGTGTAGTGAAAAAAAATCATTTTACCATCCTTCTGCCTTTAAAGTAATTAAGCTATGGACCAAAATAACATGATCGACAGGCAGCCCACTGATGAGCCCACTTCTAAGCTTTTGCTGAGCAAGTCTGGGTATACCGTGGTAAAGTGCACTGGAATGCAGATCCAGTTGCCTTAGGTCATCTCACTTGTGAGCAGCACTGGCTGGGATGTGGGTGACTACTTGAGCACCTCACTTCTGCGTAGAAGAGCAAATGGTGAAATCTACACCCTTCCAAGGAATCCCCTCTGGATTTAGAAAGTGCCTCCTCTCTGCTGAGCCTCCACAGCCTCCTATCTCACTCATACCTCTGCTGTAACATTTATCACACCAGGCTGCAACCACGTCTTCATGGGTCTGTCTTCCTTGTCAGACCATGAACCTGTAGAGGGCAGAGACCTTGCCTCATTCATTTCTATATCCCCAGCAGAGAACGGGAAAGTAGTTCAATTCACATTTGTGGAACTAGTTGACTGATTCACGGCTTTTCCCTTAGGTTCCCCTCCCTCAGGAAATTGCTGCTGTGAAAATACTTGGGTAATTTCAGGGTTGCAATCAAATGACCTCAGCTGAAACTGCGAATTTTCATTGCTGAAAGACTTAAGAGAAATACTGCATGCAAATTATGCAAGCCCCAGCTGTGGGTAAAAGAGCATCTTATTTCACAATACGCTGTTATAAAAAATAAAATCTTCCATCACGTTCCCAAAAGGTAGCAGCAGGAGTCCAGGTTAATACTGCTCTCCTCTAAGCCACTTTAATTTGACTTGGCATAGTCCCTGTATTGTGCCCATATAATTTCCTTTTTCCCTAAAGTAGATTCTCCTTTTCCTGGCATGCAGTGAAGGACACGGATCTAAACTGAGACTCTCTGTCATCCTTTGTTCATTCCTTTTTATACTTTTTGAGCCAAATTTCACTATAATCTTTTAGATCTTTACAAATCTGAACTTTCAGAGTCTTCTCTGTGGTCTGCCAGGTCTTATCTTGGCTATATAAATTCATGTCATAAACATTAGTGTATTTAAAACTCAACTTACTTCCATTACCTGCCCCCCAGGTTGGACTGGGATTACTCTTAAACCAGATGTGATTTCTACTATACATACACACACATGCATTTATATTCCACTTCGATTTAAAATTCAAGCTCAAGTTGGGGAACTGCTCAAGTCAGAAATAATCATAAGTTCTATTGGTGTACAGTAGTGCTAGGCAACTATAATTAACAAATGGCTAAAAAAGAGGAGATTAAATGTTCTCATCACCAAGAAACAATACATTTTTGCAATTAAGAATTTGCTAACTACTTTAATTTGACCACTACACATTGTATACATGTATTAAATTATTACTATGTACCCCGTAAATATGTACAATCAATGTTTCAACTAAATTTAAAAAATTTTTTTAAACTATTAAAAAAATAAAAAAGAAATGATCATGTACATACCAAGAGGCAATGGCTAAAGACCTCCTTCAACCAATGTCCAATATATGTGACAATACCTTAGAATAGTAAGGTGGGACACAAAAGTTACTACTGATAAATCTGAATCAAGTTTTAAGAGAAATTGCAGTATTTAAGGAGATTTTCTTTTCAAACAATAGAAATCTCCTAATAACTTAAAATTATAATAATTAATACTACACTTCTGAACTTATGCAGTATTGGAAGGTATGTACGGCAGACTATGGACAAAGATCAAAATTAATGCCTATAAAGCTGAACAATGCATTCATATAGAATTTCAATAATTGATAATAACAAACCAAATCAACCAGAGACCTCAACTGTAGAGAAAAATTCACATGTCTAAGTGTGGATGCCGTTTTCAAACCCACCTTTTAAAGATTTCAAGTGTTGGACAGCCATTCTCAAAACTGTAAGTTTGTCCAGTTTACGTGCCATGGGATTGCATTGAGGGATCATCGCAGACAGTTCTTCAATCAGGTTATTCATCTTATCCCTCCTCCGCTTTTCGGTTTGGCTGTGAGCTTCTCTAGGAGGAAAGAGGAGCCTTCTTTATATTTAACATTCATCTGACTCACAGTCACCCCAGAGGCGCTCCCTGGAGCAGGTGCCAAGCCCAGCAAGCAACACAGTTCTTCCTGCCAGCTTCACCCTGCAGCTGCCATTCGGGGAAGAGGAAAGAGTTGCTGGGAACAGGAATGCCACTCATAAAATTCACATTTCTGTTACCCCCCATCCACTAACCCTTGATCAATCCCTTCTTTCCTTAGTTCCTGAAATCTTCCAGAACTAAGACTGCTTTCTACCTCCCTCCAGTCTTAGAGAAAGAGATGAGTATCCTGTTCAAAGCTAGCTCCTCTCTGGGATTTGCATAAACAGTTATCAGCATCTTAACTGCCTTGTCACAGCTCCTCATCATGGGTCTGTAACATGCTCAAGTCTGTCCCCTCTAGAAAAACCCTTTCCCTAATTCCAGTTGTTTTCTTCCTGCTCAGCAAGCCTCCTGAAAGACTGCAGTCTCCTCTCAACCTTTCACTCCCTAGGCACTTCTGCAACTTGACAATCAAGCTGCCACAGCCCCTGCCTGCCCCACTAAAACGATCCCAGCCAACATCACCCTTACCTCGTGCAATCCCTTGAGGATCCTCGCCTTAAATTTGCCACTGTTGATGTTCCTCATTCTGGCCTGGCTCCTATAACCTCTCCTCCTCCTCCTCCTCCTCATCTCCACCTCCGTCCTCGCTCAGTCCCCTCAGTCTCCTCACCCCGCTCTCCCTCTGTCCTTAGGTGCTGATGTGCACCCAGATCCCCGCGTGGCACCACTCTCCTCAGTCCATAGTTCCCCCTGAGAGAGTTCATGCCCCCATAAAGCTTGACAACTACTCATCAGCTACCTACCACTAAATTCCTGTCTCATTCATACTTCACCAAGCTCCCAATCTTTGGAACTGGAATTATGCACCTAAATGAATCACGAGCACCTAAAACTCAAGAAATCCCAAACCGAATGCATTCGCTGCAGTTCACCCCATTCCAATTCTCCTTCCTCCACTACTCCTGACTCACTCTTCCTTCTATAGGATTTCTTTTGGTTGGTGACACAACTAGACTCATTCTCCACTCTGAAGAGAAAATGCCAAAATTCTGTAGACTCTAGTTGTGAAAATACTTTTTAAATATGTCTCCTCTCCATCACTCTGGCACTGCCCCACTTTAGGCTCACTGCATTACCCCCAAAGCCTTTTTAAACTGATGTTCTTTCCTTGAGTGTTTTCCTCGTCCAGTCTATCTCCAGGATTTCCAGAATCATCATTCTAAGACAAATCAAATCATCTAATGCCACTGCATGGAACTGCTCAGCACGTGCGCACTGCCCGAGAGGAATGCCAAACTCTCTAACTACAGCCAAGGGTCTCCGTGGCCTGCCTGGCTCATGCCTCCATCTACAGTTCCATCTCTCCATGTGTTTCCCTGACTGCTCCCAATGTCACATGGTAGCAGTGCCCAATGACTTGCTGATCCTCAAACATGCTACGTTGGCTCACATCTCCTCTATGCCTTGCTCTTTTCCGGGCTTGGAATGTCATTCCCTCGTATATTCTTGGAAAAATCCTATTCTTCAAAACTCAGCTCAGTTATGCTTCTGGGAAGACTTCCCTGACTGCTGCATGATTACACCCCCGTCTGTTTGCTACCTCAGTCCCTTTCATAGCTCTACCAGGTCTCATCAAATCCAAGACACCATCAGTTGTAAAATGCACTCTTACTTAATGAATCACAAGGAAGGAAAAATGCTGCTAATACGACAATTCACAGATGATAAAATGTAGAGAGAGGAAAAGTATACCTTAGATTTCAAGAATTATGCTGTGTTTTAGTTCTTACACTCAGCTATAAACATTTGTCTCTTTCTCCCACATGCAGATCATGGCAAATCTAGTATTTCTATATAAGAAGAGTTTAAGGGAACAAACGGATGGGAAAGAGGATAAGTAAAAGACTTGCCCTGACCTGTTTTTACAGACTTTAAATTAGATGAAAGGAAATATAATTTTTCCTCATAAAAGAGAACATGTGGCGAGGTCAGGGAGGGGCACCGGTGGAGCGAACACTTCCCGCTCCCCAGCCATTCACCCTTTTGGCCATGCCACTCCTGGAACAGAATATATACTTTTGGGTGAACTGGATGAAATTCAAATTGCATGTATAATTACATAAAATTCAGTTGTCTAGTCAAACTTTGGTCTATTCAGGAGCAATTTTTAGATTAAAACGTCATGGTTAAAAGAATGTTGTAGTTCTACTCTTGCTAGAATGATCACCTCTTCTTTCTACCAGTTACCCATCAGGAGGGACAGCAGCAATGGGCAGAGGTTCCTGACTTCAGGAATGCACAGAGGAAGGAGGGGGCTCTCTCAGAGCCAGGATCTGGAGGGAGATGGGAGCAAGGCGGGAGCAAGACCGCTGTGGGGAACAATGCGTGATGATGTTGGGAGCTAGGAAACTCCGAGGAGGGCGAAATAACCAGTTTCCAAATAAGGTACTTTACTTAAGGAGCCACACTGGAAAAGATTTCTGGAGGATTTTATTAAGAAAAGACATATTTATCCAGAGGCTGGTTCTCTGCTTAATAATTTATCAGGGCTCTGGCTCTTAATTCTGTATATGGTTACTGCTACTTTGAGCCATGGCAGTATTTTGTGGAATCATATCAGAAAATAGAATACATGGAAAAAAAGCAATACTCAGATCTGGCCATGTTGCCAGATGTAGAAAAACATCTTGTTGTTGAAAGAATATGTTGAAATAATCAAAGAATTTATGATGATGAATTTCTAATAATCAGGTGTCCTCATAAGTAATTGATTGGTTTATAGCATGTCAGTTTTTCTCTAGTACTTCAAGAAAATAATACTTGTTTTTAATAAACAGCTATTCTAAGAGAAATTTAAAGGCACCAAAGCCAAAATGTTATTCAAGTAGACAGAAAAGTAAGGTAGCAGGTATCTGATAACACTGCTTCTCAGGGCATGACAGTAGAGGAAAACCTACTATTCACGAATCCATTCCATCCTGACATCACCTTGAACTGTGGCCAAAGGTCTGCACGGGCAACCCCTTCCACCCACCATGTGCCGTCTCAACAGATCAATGTACCTTAAGGACTCATTTTTACATGTTGTTCACCATCTTCCACTCTACAAAAAAGCAGGATAAAGTACCAAACTACATGAAATAGCCTTTCTATGATTCTTGAGAGAGAAATAAATGTAAGATTAAACCAAATCATCCTAATTCCTATTGAATCTTTAGCTATAAATGCTAGCTTGAGCACTTAATAATCTGAAATGATTATTACTGTCTATATGAGTTGCTTTCCTATTAAAGGTGACAGGTGACCCCCTGCCCATCAGGGGAACAAAATCTATGCTGATGATGAACAATAACTGGTGCTCTACTTAGAAATAACCTCATGCCAATCTTGAGAAAGAATAAAATTTTCATAGAAATAACATTAAATAAAATAAAGGTTTTTTTGTAAAACAATTAATGCCTTAACCAAACATTTATGACAGCTATATTCAAATAGACTGAAAACATGATAAGAATTTTAGACCTTTAATCAAAAGGAATTTATCTTGCTAAAAATCCATCAGGATGGTAAGAAATATTACTGAATACTGGAAACTCTAATCACTTGCCAATAATATTAGTTTTCACATTAATATAGTCCCTAGCATCAGAAATATACTTACCAGATCAGTATGGAAATGAAATACACTGATGGAGATAGAAAATCTTCAACATGAAAAAATTATGCAGGCTGAGTAGTTTTTTAGATATGTACTTTTAAAAAATATATTTCCCAATGTATCATGGGGCGGGGGGAGAATTGGAAAAATTCAGGGAAAAGCACCTATAATCCCACCTGGAAATATTCTAGAGTTAACACTCTAATGTGTCTCTTTCCAGTCTCTTTTCTAAACATGGAGATACACAGAAAAAAATAGTTTTGACTATTTCACTTAGCCATGGGCTGTTTGTGTGCAGTGTAGTTGTGTAGATATTTCTGTGTTCTACATACATAATAAATGAAATTCAGATCTTAGTATATAACTTTCCAAATTTGTCTTATTCACTTAACACTATAACATCAAATATTCGTGGAAAACATGATTTGAAGTGAGTAAATAGTGGTCCATTGATTAGCTATACCATAATTTATTAAATTATCTGCTATTGTTGGATATTTCAATATTCTAATATTTTCAACATTTTAAATAATATGGCTAATAATATTGTGGTGTTTGCATCTTTGATAATTTCCTAGGATAAATCCCTAGAAGTACAATTTATGGATTATTATTTTAAGCCTTCTGATTCATCTTACCAAATTTCCCTCTTGAAAGACTTAACAATGATCATTTTCCAGGCTTTGAAAAAAACATGACCTACCTTTGAACTATTTTATTCATCTGAACTCTCTTATTTGAGCTTTTAATAATATTTTTCTACTTCATTTTCCAGGCTTTGAAAAAAACATGACCTACCTTTGAACTATTTTATTCATCTGAACTCTTCTTATTTGAGCTTTTAATAATATTTTTCTACTTAAAAAGATAACAATGATATTTATAGAAAATCTAATATGATTTATAAAGAGATGTTTATAAATATTCCAAACAGAAAGGACAACTAAGTTAAAGCCTTAATCAAATGGTGCTTTTCCTTCTCACTCTCTAAATAAAGAATAATTTTCATACTTATAGTACTTTATCAAAAATGTTTTCACATGTTATTTGATCCTCATGACACAGTGACGTAGTTATTACTATCCCCATTTTATGGATGAAGGAATGGAGGCCCAGTAAAGTGAATGACTGTTCGAGGTCACATAAGTAATAAGAGACCAGGGGAAGTTTATTCTATGCAGGCTGGTGAGGCTTCCGCTACATCTTGCTGTTTCTCTCATCACTGTCAGTCTGCTCTGTGGTTGGTACACACAGCTTCGCGGAAGCAAAAGAGGGTCAGGTAAGTCAGCTTCTTTTCTCTTTTCTCTTTTTAGCCTGACTTCATATTAAAGGAATAAAACAGAAAATAATTATACAGGTAAATGATTTTCTTCCTAATTGTTTGGAATTATATAAGAGGATACTGCAAAAAGTTTATGGAAAAATAGAATTGAAAGATAATACGAATTTTTCCATGAACTTTTAAAAGCATCCTTGTATACATTTACATCACTTCAATTTCGAAAAGGAAACTTTGGCTTTTGCAAATCATGCTTTCGCTTTGTTTATTGGTATTCTGGCAAATAAACTCAGGCAAATGAACTTTCCTCCTTAGTGAAATCCAAATATATTGTACTAATGAATTCCACATGCACTTTTATTTAATAGTCCCTGGTAGGATAGAATAAAAGTATAATTTTGTTAGCCAAACAATTCATTTGCTTGCAGCACAAACCTAGATAATTAGTAAATTCACTATGTGTATATTTTTTCCATTCTGGCATTTGATCTATAGTTATAATATTTTTACAAAGCGTTCTCATATTAATATTGTTCATATTACTTAGATGCATTTTCTCAGTGTAGCATCTTACATTACAGTAACATGATTTTTTTCAAAACACATTGCAAGCTCTCCTTGAAAACTACTTCCACTGCATTTTGAATGAAATATAGGCAATCTCCCTAAGCTAACCAAAGACAAATGAGCTAGAAGCAGATGCAATGTCAAGAATTTCTCCAGATTTGCCACTTTCCACGCATCTTTCTTTTTCAAACCTGCTTCCTTTGGTTTCTGAGCTATGGCTCCCCCTCCGAGCCACGCCTCCTCACATTTCAGGTAAGCTTCCCCTCCCACTCTTACTGTCTTTAAATCCCTGTGCCCCCAGGGTTTGTGCTCAGCCCCCTAGTCTGCCCTCTCCACACACTTCTCCCAGTGACGTCGTCCACATCCACCACTTCAATTCCTTCCTGGACACTCGTGATGTCTGAATCTCCATCTCCAGGCCAGGCCTCAGCCCTGAGTTCCGGATCCTCATGTCCAATCGCGTTCTTGATGTCCCATTCTTGGTGTGTCCAAAGCTGAACTCATCATCTTTCCCTCAATCTCAGTAAACAAAAATACCACCATCCATCTAGGAGCCCATGTCAGAAAACTTGACCACTTTTTATATTCTCTCTCTCTCTCCAACCAACAATCGTGAAGTCTTAGAGATTCTATTTCTAGATGTGTCCTATGTCCCTTCCTGTCCAGGGCCACTCACTTAGACCAGTGCTCAGAAAACCTAGCAAAAGCCTCTCAGCTGTTCTCTTTGCCTGCTGGGTTTCCCTCCGTCAGCCCATCCTCCATGCTGTTTCCAGAGTGATTCTTTGAAAAGGTAAATCTGTACCACTTCACACCTATACTAGGATTGCTATAATAAAAAGTCGAAAATAATAATTATCAGCAAAGATGTGGAGAAATTGGAACCCTCGTACACTGTTAGTGGGAATATAAAAGGATGGAGCCACTGTGGAAAACAGTTTAATGGATTCTCAAAAACTAAAGAGAATTACAAAAACTAAATAGAATTACCATATGATGTGGCAATTCCAATTCTAGATATATACCCAAAAGAACTGAAAGAAGGGACCCAAACAGGTATTGGTACACCAGTGCTCATAGCACCAGTATTCACAATAGCCAAAAAGTGGAGACAACCCAAGTGTCCATCAACAGATGAATGAATAAACAAAATATAGCATATACATACAATGGAATAATATTCAGCCATAAAAAGGAATGAAATTCCGACACACGCAACAACATGGACAAAACCTGAAGACATTACACTAAGTGAAATAAGCCAGACACAAAAGGACAAATTTCATTTGATTCTACTTGTGTGAAATATCTAAAATAGGCAAATCCATGGAGCCAAAAAGTAGACAAGGGGTTACCAGAGGCTGTGGGGAAAGAGGATGGGGAGTTGTATTTCAACAGGCACAGAGTTTCTGCTGGAGGTGATAAAAAATTTTTGAGAATAGACAGTGGTGATGGTTCACAACACTGTGAATGTCATTGATGCCAATGAATTGTACACTTACTTATAAATGGTTCAAATGACAAATCTCATGATATACATATATATAAATATTTTACCACAATAAAAAATGTGCCAAGAAGAGTGCAGAGACAAGCAATTTTTAAAAAACATAAATCTGATCAAATGGTTCAAATGACAAATCTCATGATATACATATATATAAATATTTTACCACAATAAAAATGTGCCAAGAAGAGTGCAGAGACAAGCAATTTTTAAAAAACATAAATCTCATTAAGTTCCTCTCATGCTTAAAATCCTTCAGTTTTCCTACTGCAATCAGGGTAATCTTCAGATGCTCCAGTTCAGCAGAGCATCATGACCTAGGCCATGTTTATCCCTCACATCTCACAGCTCATCCACCTCTGTGTGCACCCTCTGCTCTTTTGTGACAATACTTGTGTCCTNAAATGGTTCAAATGACAAATCTCATGATATACATATATATAAATATTTTACCACAATAAAAATGTGCCAAGAAGAGTGCAGAGACAAGCAATTTTTAAAAAACATAAATCTCATTAAGTTCCTCTCATGCTTAAAATCCTTCAGTTTTCCTACTGCAATCAGGGTAATCTTCAGATGCTCCAGTTCAGCAGAGCATCATGACCTAGGCCATGTTTATCCCTCACATCTCACAGCTCATCCACCTCTGTGTGCACCCTCTGCTCTTTTGTGACAATATTTGTGTCCTGATCAGCCATACATTATTTCACACCCTGCACTTCTGCAGGTTGTTCCTTCAACCTAAATACTGCACCCCAGCTCTGTAGACTCATTTCTACTTCTCATTTAAAACTCAGCTTAAATCAATTTCTCCGGGATGCTGTCCTTCACTCCTGATCCAAAACTTATTTAAATGCCAACCTTTCTCTGATGCCATAGTACTCAGGGTCTTTACTATGGCAGTTATCACAATGTATAATAATAATGTGTGTCGTCCCCATTTGTACAAGTTTCTTGTGTCTTATCTGTATCTTTCCCTCCTGGTCTACTGGGTGTCCCACAGTAGGGACTCAATAATTGTTTACTGACTACATTCCACAGAACCTTCATCAAAGATGCATTTAAAGAACCAACTCTCCATTAAAAACCAACAGTGCCACACATTTTTATATATTCTTCTTCAGTTAAAAATATCCAACACTCTGAGACTACTTTAATAAAATCAGCTTCATATCTACTGACTGGCTTTCATGCCCTGAGTCTCTGGGACTATATACTATATAATCAGCATGCTGTAAAATCCATAAAGTACTTGACATCCATCATTTCATTAGAAAGAATGGAAAGTGGTAGGAGAAAAGAAGGATTGGGGCCACATGGAGAAGCTCTAGGACAAAAAAGGAGCAAATCAGTGGGACTCACACTTTCTTTCTATTGCCACTATAAACCCTCTTCAGTAGGCAGTGAACGTGTCAAATGACAGTCCAGGACTTACCTGCTGCCACCAGATGCTAATATTTCTATCCTTGTTGAAAGAAGATAGGTAAAGGGATTCTGAGAAAGCTTTTCCATCACTTTTTCTGTCATGATTCCTGACCTGGAAGGAAGGAGGCCTTGGGTCACCCCTACCCAAACGTGCTGCGAAACGAAGCATAATTGCCCTTGCATGCCAGAAGCACCCTACCCTGTCCAGTTGCAGAGACACGGGAAGCTGGGTGTAATGACGAAAATACCACACTAAGAACCAGGCATTCTAAGTAGTTGTATCATGTTGGGTAAGCTGCTTGACGTTTCTGAGTCCTAGCTTCTTCATTTTCTAAATTGTGGGCAGTAAACTAAATAATCTTTAGTGCTGCATGCTGCCAAAAAATCATAATCCGTCAGTACTTTGTATGTTTCTAATATTTCTGATATAGCCCCATTTTCCCATCCACTCCCCAAACCACTGTAATGTCTCAACCATGTCCCCAACATGGCATAAAACTGTTACCTCTAGCATTCACTGTTCCCACTTCAATAGCCACAAACTTATTTCGATATTAAGAAAGAACAGTGGTGCTTACGATTCTGAAAAATAAGGAAGAAAATAAAAAGGACTAATAGTCACTTCCAGCTCAAGGTAAGTGGGGACTAGCAACTGATTATTTAGGATAAAAAAACAGCAAACAGCTCTAGATAGACTGTCACTTGGCCAATTGCAGTTTTCATGAGCATGCATGTTAATGGAAGAGATTGAGAATACAGACACCAAAAACAGTAGAAAATTTTCCAGTCATTTATATGTGTTTTGGGAAGTGCTTTGGTGTTTACATTTGAATAACAGTGATTCTGCTGTCTTGGGAATTGGAGCTAAATTATAAAGTGTATGGGAAGAACTAGGTTAGAATGTGCAAAGATGTCCCTTCAGTTTGTTCCCTACTCGCAACTTTTCCCTTCATTCATGATGCAGCCATCAACTTTTACATTGATGTAAAATACCAGCCTAAGATAAATTGCTCCAGAGTGCTATCATTATTTTGCCTTAATATTTTCACCATATAAACCATAGCTTCTGGGAGGTCATTAAGAAATATTTGGGGCTGCAAGATGCAACAGGCAACAAAAAAAGCAAGGAGACAGTAAGTGTTCTCAACATTGACTGTATTATCTACTTGGCTTGGTAAATATAAAAATCAAGAGTGTTATATGATTAAACTGGCCACACATAGCCAAGGGTTTATTATTATATAAATGATGAGTAAAGTGAGAAGTAAAGTGGTAATTACTATTTTAAGCCAAACACTTAAGATGATGTTCTCCTCTTGGTTAAGTATTTTGATAAGGAAGGCAAGTATCTTGCCGTGACCATGAACATCAAGCAAATTAACCTTATGCTCCGACATCTCCTTCAGACTCCAGTTGACACTCCTGGATACCTAATAATCTTCAGAGCTGGATGGAAAAGTTCCAGGTCAGCCAATGACAGAGGTAAATAGTTGGGTGGATAAATAACCATCCTTATCCAAATGTTACTATCTACTTAGAAATAATTTGTTAAAGGGCCGAGCCCGTGGCGCACTCGGGAGAGTGCAACGCTGGGAGCGCAGCAGCGCTCCCGCCACGGGTTCGGATCCTATATAGGGATGACCGGTGC